CTCTTTGCCCCCCCCCCCCCCGCGCGCAGCCCCAGTTTGATGCCATCAGTGGCTGAAGAAAAGGGAGGGGGGACTTGGAAGCTTGTCTTCTGTGCAACTCTTGTGCTGATGTAGCGAAGGTGTTAACATAGCTCAGAATTGTGTTCACTACTCATGGATCTCGTGGCTGTTGTTTTTCCTTTTCTTATTGCAGGCTATTCCCTTTTTCCATGAATTGCTCTGCCTGTTTTTTTAGGTTGCACCTGTTGCCACATCTCATGGCACTGAATATCCTCAGGAAGTTTGGGGCTGCGTGGAACAGCTCTTCTTTTGGGCTGTCCCAGAGCAGACTCCTCCTGGGTGTCCCCCCCCACCCCCATATACTCTTTTGTTGTGGGCCAGTGACCGTCAAATGGCATTTCTCCTCCAAGACCTTAACGGCTGTCTCAGGGTGGGTCCGGGTTCTGCATGCGCGCAGCATGTTGGGCTTGTTGCTAGTTTCCTTCTACCTCCACTTACTTGGGAGGAGATGTGGGCACTTCTGCAAATTCCCTAAAGTCTGCCTTGCGGTTTTCTCGGACATTTTCACTTCAGGTAGTTTTGCTGTTTGTTTTTTGCAGGATGAGCAGTTCCTTGGCTTTGGATCCGATGATGATGAGGCCAAAGGCCGGAGTCCTGCCAAGTCTCCCACAGGTATCTATCGTTTGATGCTCATGGGAGGTGGGGAGAGGGGAGGGGGTGGCCTGAAGGATGTGCTGGGTGTGCTACAAAGCAGGAGGCGCAGCCGGAGGCACCACTTTCCTGTTGCCAGCAGGAGATGCCCTCTGGTGGGATCGTGACAATGCTCTCCAAGTAAAGACCGCTACATGCTTTGGTTGTTTTTGGGGTGGGTGGGTAGGGAATGGGATACAAATTCCTGGAAAGGTGGGGGTCAGGGTTGTCTTAGCTGCCAAGAGCATCCTGATTCTCTAGGTGGCAATGCTGGCCAGGGAGCTTGCTTGCCTGCTGAAGGGCTCCTTGAGTTCCTGGAGCGGGCAAAGGGAGAGGGGCATGCAGGCCACGGAGGGACACGCTCAGCTTCTCCCTGGTTTTTTGGCTTAATCCCAGCTTCATGGCTGAAGCTCCTTGCACCTGTCCTTTCTGTGGCCAAATTAGCCCCTGAGGCAGATGTGCGTCCCTCACCTCCCCGTCTCCCCCAGTTCCTTTGTTGGCTCTGGACATGAGCAGCAGGCAGAAACAGAGTCATGTGAATCCACTGTTGGTTTGAATCATCTTGGATGCTGTCCTTGTTCTCTGTTTCTGAAAAGAATGCAAGAAAGTGACTGGCTGATCTGTCGAACATTTACAGCGATTCTGAAAATCTTGGAGAAACGTTTGGTCTTTTACTGTCAGTCACCTGGATTGGAACGGCTCCTACTACAGAAAAGGCGTGCTGCTCTGCAGCATGCATGTCTTCTTTCAGCCCACTCATGGAAAGCTCAATCGCCGGTTTTTCTCCTGCGTGGCCTACAGAGGCAGACGCTTACCAGCATCTTGCAGAGATCTGTTTCTGCAGGATAGAGAAAGCCTTAGCACTCTGCTCAGTGACCAGAACAGCTGCATAAGATGAGGAATTGGGACTTGCACTGTCTTGCGTCCTTTTCTATCCGTGTCCTTTTTCCTCTTCCACGTCATGTTTTCTCAGATGATAGCCCTGTTGGAGCAGACACTGACTTGTTTTTATTGATCTGCAGTCCACTTCAGGAACATTACCAAATGAAAGGTGTATATTTTGGGAGGGGAGAAGAGAGAAATTGCAGAATAAAGAAACAAGTGAGTAATAGACCTGTTCCCTTCTTTTTCCTTCCCTTGTTGTTTTAGGCAAGACTAGCACGCGCAAACCTCGTGGGAGACCTCGAAACAGCTCAGACCGAAGTTCAGTTGCACTTTCAGAATCCTTGCCACTGGATTCCTCTTCCAGCAAACCAGAAGCTTCATCCATGGAAAAAGTAAAGAAGAAAGACCTGAAAAGTGGAGAGAAGCGGCGGGGGAGGCCCCCTGCACTGAGCACTGTGAAGTTCAAGGTCAGCCACAAAGAGGGCCTTCAAGATGTGCAGAAATCAGGCAAGGAGGAAAAGGAGAATATCAAGAAAATTCGGCGGGCTCCATCCGCCGCATTTCAGCATGCTGCCAAAATCAAACTGAGAGCAGGCAAACTCTCCCCGCTGAAGTCTCAGTTCAAGGCAGGAAAGCTCCAAATTGGGAGGAAGGGAGTCCAGATGGTGCGCAGGAGAGGAAGGCCTCCCTCCTCTGACCGAGCCTTGAAGGCAGCCCCCAACATCATGGCGAGTTCTCAGCTGGACAAAGCCCAGAGGGTTCGGAAGGAGAAGGAGGGGGCAGTCGCCCTTCCCAAGGAGGAAAAGCCCCTGGTCGTCCGGCAGAGCCCCCGCAGGCCGGTGAGGATCCTCCCCTCCTCCAAGAGGACGGATGCCACCATTGCACGGCAGCTGCTGCAGCGGGCGAAGAAAGGGGCCCAGAAGAAGATGGAGCAAGAGGCGGCCAAGCTCCAGGGGCAGAAAGGCCGGACTCAGCTGAAGAACATCCGGCAGTTCATCATGCCTGTGGTGAGTGCCATCTCCTCGCGGATCATCAAGACCCCCAAGCGCTTCATTGAAGACGAGGATTACGACCCACCCATCAAAGTGGCCCGCCTGGAGTCCACCCCCGTCAGCGCCAGCTCCTGCGAGTCCAGCGAGAAGTCCAGCGGGGCCTCCCAGCACTCCTCCCAGGCATCTTCTGACTCCTCGCGCTCCAGCAGCCCAAGCGTCGACACCTCCACGGATTCCCAGGCCCTGTCAGAGGAGTGCGCCGGTGTCCCAGAGGTCCGCCCTGCGCGGCCCGTTTCCCCGCCCCCGGAGAGCGAGGGCGCCGAGAGGAACAGGAGGAGGAGGACGGAGAGAGGTTTTGTGCCGAAAGCTGCCAAGAAGCTGCCCGGCCTCCAGAGTCGCGCTCCAGCAGCCCAAGCGTCGACACCTCCACGGATTCCCAGGCCCTGTCAGAGGAGTGCGCCGGTGTCCCAGAGGTCCGCCCTGCGCGGCCCGTTTCCCCGCCCCCGGAGAGCGAGGGCGCCGAGAGGAACAGGAGGAGGAGGACGGAGAGAGGTTTTGTGCCGAAAGCTGCCAAGAAGCTGCCCGGCCTCCAGAGCGCGCCGCAGCCGCAGCCCCCCTCTTCCTC